AAAGTTATCAAAAAAGATAAGGAAGGACACTTCATACTCATCTAAGGAAAAATCTACCAAGGAGAACTCTCAATTCTGAACATCTATGCTCCAAATGCAAGGGCATTCACATTCATAAAAGAAACTACCAAAACTCAAAGCACACATTGCACCTCACACAATAATAGTGGGGGACTTCAACACCCCACTCTCAGCAATGGATAGATCATGGAAACAGAAACTAAATAGAGACACAGTGAAACTAACAGAAGTTATGAACCAAATGGATTTAATGGTTATCTATAGAACATTTCATCCTAAAACAAAAGAATATACCTTTTTCTCAATATCTCATGGTAGCTTCTCTAAAATAGACCATATAATTGGTCACAAAGCAGACCTCAACAGATACAAAAATATTGAAATAATCCCTTGCATCCTATCAGATCACTATGGACTAAGGCTGGTCTTCAATACTAACAAAAACAATGGAAAGCCCACATACACATGGAAACTGAACAACACTCTACTCAATGATGACTTGGTCAAGGAAGAAATAAAGAAAGAAATTAAAGACTTTTTAGAATTTAATGAAAATGAAGGCTCATCATACCAAAACTTATGGGATACAATGAAAGCAAACTCATAGCTCTAAGTGCCTACAAAAAGAAACTGGAGGGAGCATACACTAGCAGCTTGACAGCACACCTGAAAGCTCCAGGACAAAAAGAAGCAAATACACCCAAAAGGAGTAGAAGGCAGGTAATAATCAAACTAAGGGCTGAAATCAACCAAGTAGAAACAAAAAGAACTATACAAAGTATCAACAAAACCAGGAGCTGTTTCTTTGAGAAAATCAACAAGATAGATAAACCCTTAGCCAGACTAACCAGAGGGCACAGAGACAGTATCCAAATTAATAAAATCAGAACTGAAAAGAGAGACATAACAACAGAAACCGAGGAAATTAAAAAAAATCACCAGACCATACTACAAAAGCTTATACGCAACAAAACTGAAAAATCTGGATGATATGGACAATTTTCTAGACAGATACCAGGTACCAAAGTTAAATTAGGAGCAGATAAACCATCTAAACAGTCCCATAACCCCTAAAGAAATAGCAGCAGTCAACAAAAGTCTCCCCACCAAAAAAAGCCAAGGACCAGAGGGTTTTAGTGCAGAATTCTATCAGACCTTCAAGGAAGACCTAATACCAATTCTCTTCAAACTATTCCACAAAATAGAAACAGAAGGAATACTACCCAATTCGTTCTATGAAGCCACAATCACACTCATACCTAAACCTCACAAAGACCCAACAAAGAAAGAGAACTTCAGACCAATCTCCCTCATGAATATCGATGCAAAAATACTCAACAAAATTCTACCAAACTGAATCCAAGAACACATCAAAACAATCATCCATCATGATCAAGTAGGTTTTATCCCAGGAATGCAGGGATGGTTCAATATTTGGAAATCCATCAATGTAACCCACTGTATAAACAAACTCAAAGAAAAAAACACATGATCATCTCACTAGATGATGAGAAAGCATTTGACAAATTCAACATCCCTTCATGGTCTTGGAAAGATTAGGAATTCAAGGCCCATACCTAAACATAGCAAAAACAATATATAGCAAACAAGTAGCCAACATCAAACTAAATGGAGAGAAACTTGAAGTAATCATACTGAAATCAGGGACTAGACAAGGCTGCCCTCTCTTTCCTGATCTATTCAATATAGTACTGGAAGTCCTAGCTAGAGCAATTAGACAACAAAAAGAAGTCAAAGGAATACAAATAGGAAAGGAAGAAGTCACTATTTGCAGAAGATTTGATAGTATACTTAAGTGACCCCAAAACTTCCACCAGAGAACTCCTAAACCTGATAAACAACTTCAGAAAGTGGCTGGTTATAAAATCAACTCGAACAAATAAGTAGCCTTCCTCTACTCGAAAGGTAAACAGGCTGAGAAAGAAATTAGGGAAATAACACCCTTCACAATAGTCACAAATAATATAAAATACCTTTGTGTGAATCTAACCAAGCAAGTGAAAGATCTGTATGACAAGAACTTCAAGTCTCTGAAGAAAGAAATTGAAGATTTCAGAAGATGGAAAGATCTCCCATGCTCATGGATTGGCAGGATTAATATAATAAAAATGGCCATCTTGCCAATTACAGATTCAATGCAATCCCCATTAAAATACCAACTCAATTCTTCACAGAGTTAGAAAGAGAAATTCTCAAATTCATTTGGAATAACAAAAAACCCAGGATAGCGAAAACTATTCTCAACAATAAAAGAACTTCTGGAGGAATCACCATCCCTGACCTCAAGCTGTACTACAGAGCAATAGTGATAAAAACTACCTGGTATTGGTACAGAGACAGGCAGGAAGATCAATGGAATAGAATTGAAGTCCTAGAAATGAACCCACACAAGCTATGGTCACTTGATGTTTGACAAAGTGTTCAGTGAAAAACGGACAGCATTTTCAACAAATGGTGCTGGTTCAACTGGAGGACAACATGTAGAAGAATGCAAATCGATCCATTCTTATCCCCTTGTACAAAGCTCAAGTCCAAATGAATAAAGGACCTTCACATAAAACCAGATACACTGAAACTAATAGAAGAGAAGGTGGGCAAGAACCTTGAATACTTGGCCACAGGGGAAAATTTCCTGAACAGAACACCAATGGCTTATGCTCTAAGATCAAGAACTGACAAACAGGACTTCATAAAATTGCAAAGTTTCTGTAAGGCAAAGGACACTGTCAATAGGACAAAATGGCAACCAACAGATTGGAAAAAGATCTTTACTAATCCCATATCTGATAGAGGTCTAATATCCAATATATACAAAGAACTCAAGAAATTAGACTCTAGACAACCAAATAACCCTGTTAAAAATGGGGTACAGAGCTAAACAAGGAATTCTCAACTGAGGAAACTCAAATGGCCGAGAAGCACCTAAAGAAATGTTCAGCATCCTTAGTCATCAGGGAAATGCAAATCAAAACAAGCCTGAGATTCCACCTCACACCAGTCAGAATGGCTAAGATCAAAAACTCAGGTAATAGTAGATGCTGTCGAGGATGTGGAGAAAGAGGAACACTCCTCCATTGTTGGTGAGACTGCAAGATGGTGCAACCACTTTGGAAATCAGTGTGGCGGTTCCTCAGAAAATTGGACATAGCATTACCTGAGGACCCAGCTATACCACTCCTGGGCATATAACCAGAAGATGTTCCAACATATAACAAGGACATATGCTCCACTATGTTCATAGCAGACTTATTTATAATAGCCAGAAGCTGGAAAGAACCCAGATGTCCTTCAACAGAGGAATGGATAAAAAAAATGTGGTACATTTACACAATGGAGTATTACTCAGCTATTAAAAACAATGAATTCCAGAAATTCTTAGGTAAGCGGATGGAACTAGAAAATATCATCCTGAGTGAGGTAACCCAATCACAAAAGAACACACATGGTATTCACTCACTGATAACTGAATATTAGCCCAGAAGCTCATAATACCCAATATTCAACTCACAGACCACATGAAGCTCATGAAGAAGGAAGACCAAGTGTGGGTGCTTCTGTCCTTCTTAGGGGGAGTAACAAAATACTCAAGTGAGCAAATATGGAGACAAAGTGTTGGACAGAAACTGAAGGAAGGGCCGGCCGTCTGGAGACCATTCCACCTGGGTATCCATCCCATGTCCAAAGGTAGTCGCTTATGTGGATGTCAGGAAGTGCATGCTGACAGGAGCCTGATATAGCTGTCTCCTTAGAGGTCTGACATATTCAGAGGCAGATGCTCACAGCTAACCATTGAGCTAATCAAGGGGTTCCCAATGGAGGAATGAGAGAGAAGACTGAAGGAGCTGAAAGGATTTAAGGGCCCCATGAGGAGAGCAACAATAGCAACCAATCAGAGCTCCCAGGGTCTAAACCACCAGCCTGGGAGCACATAGGGAGGGCCCCATGGCTCCAGCTGTATATGTAGGGGAGGATGGCCTTGTAGGGCATAGGTGGGAGAGGAGATCCTTGGTCCCATGGCTGGGCGCCGAGTGTGGGGGAATTAGAGGGTGGGGAGGTGGGAATGGGAGTGGGTGGGGGAGCACATCCTCATAGAAGCAGGAGGAGGGGGGATGGGATAGGGGGTTCCTGGGTGGGGGGATGGGGTAAAGGGATAACATCTGAAATGTAAATAAAATATCCAATAAAAAAGAAAACAAATAACAAAACCCAAAATAAATAATGAACAAACAAAAACTTTTGCCTGCTACTCTGCATGCCAGTTCTTTGTTATATTTGAAGGCATCAAATAGAAAAACAGAGAAGAATCTCAACGATAGATAAGGCACTGCCAAAGGATCCTTACAATTAGGTTTTGGACAAGTTGGTTAATAACTGACTGATGATAAGCGGATGTCTTCAATTCGGTAGGACTTTTCCTGATTTGTAAAGCGAGGAGAAAACATTTGACTAGCTGCCTCACATATCCAGTACTGCAAGACAGCCAACACACCACTGCCACCCACAATTAGAGCAGTCACTCACGGGCTGGGGAAGTGGCTTGGTGGTAGAGCGACCTCATTGCCAAGCCCCAGGCTGGATCTCCAGCACCTGTACAAGCACAAGTGAGTCACACCCTTACTACCAGTGTGGTAGGGACAACCAGGGGCTTCCGCTCTCAATTCCTCTCTCTAGATCTTTCTCATACAAGGACACCTCTTTTCCTGCAATTACCCCAACAGTCCTCTCACCTCCGGCTTGGGGTGTTCATCTGCTGTATAACCCTTTTAGCCTTTTCCCATAAGACTCCAGCAGACCCAGACTTTTTCAGCTCCCGCGGACTCCCCGCACTTGACCCACTCGAGGGACTTGCGCCCACTCTGGAGCAGTGTCCCTAGCCCGGGGCTTGGCTCTCCCGGCATCCCAAAGACCCCTCCGTGCTGACAGTCGGTTGGCTGCAAGCTCAGTCCTTCCCTCCTCACCTGGGCTCTCTCTTGGACTGTCCCAGGGTGAGTTTGCCAGGAGCGAGAACGTGTTTACCTCAGCAGGCCAATCCTTCTACCGCGGAAAACCAGAGCAGGAGGCGAAGACCCTTTCACGGACCTCCCAGCTGGCAGCCGCTTAAAGAACAGTCCCCTAAACAGGAAGAGGCAACGGCTTAGGCCGCGGGGGATGGCGGGGGATGGAGTCCTAGGAGAACACAGTTCGCCGCCTCTGTGAAAGCGCCACCATCTGGAACTACAACTCCCAGAGGGCTCTGCAGCAGCCATCCATCTTCCCTAAGAGCCCCACCCTCCCCCCTGGAGGCGGGGTCGCCAAGCAGGTGCTCGAACCTCTGTCTGGTTGCATCGTCTTCTCCGCCCGAACAACCTTGGAAGAGAGAGAGAGAGAGAGAGGAAAAAAAAGAGAGATATCTTGAGGAGTTTTACAGCATCACAGGCCACGTCAGAACAAGATGATGTGCTTGATGTCCCTGGTGACTTTTTTCTCAGGCTTTCCTGGCTCATGTTATGTTCTTCAGTCACGCCCTTGGACGCTGTGGATCCTGAGGGAAGTTGGAGTGGGGTGGGATGGGGGAGCTGTTAGCTTGCACTGATTTTTCCCTGTGGTCTTTTTTGTTTGTTTTGTATTTGTTTTGTTATTGTTTTGTTATTCGAAATAGAATTTCCTTGTGTATCCTTGTCTATCCTGGAACTCACTCTGTAGACCAGGCTAGCTTCAAAAGCCTGCTTTTGCCTCTGCCTCCTGAGTGTTGGGGTTAAAGGCCACCAATACCAGGCTTCTCTCTCCCCCCCTCCGCGCCCCTCTCGCTTTGTTAACAAATTAGACTATAGAAACAAAAGAGACTTTCAGGGACTATTGACTCCCTTCAAGTTTTCCCCAAATCGACTCAAATAAACATACAATGTACGTAAAGTCAATGAATGTATTTTGGTAATGAAGTAGTCTCGTGGTAAGATCCCTAAGACTGATATGGCATGGCCTAAACCAGGGCTCTGTAAAGAATTTGAAAGCAATGTGCTGTAATGTGATCAAGGCTCCAAGACATAAACTTTTCAAATAGTAATGAATTCTAAGAATTTTACATTTATCATTTTTTAAAGTCTTTTGAAACTTCGTGCTCTACCTATTTTACCGATAATGAAACAGTCTTAGAAAAGTTGTGTCATGGCAAGACTAGACAGACTTTCTTCCTTCCTTCCTTCCTTTCTTTCTTTCTTAGGAAGTTTTTTTTTTTAAAAAAGATTTATTTATTTTGTGTGGATGAGTACACCATTGCTCTCTTCAAACACACCAGAGGAGGGCATCAGATCCCATTACAGATGGTTGTGAGCCACCATGTGGTTTCTGAGAATTGAATTCAGGATCTCTGGAAGAACAGCTGATGCTCTTAACCGCTCTCCAGTCCCAGACTTTCTTCCTTTCTTTTCTTTTTTTCTTCTTCTTTTTTTTTGCTTTTCTAAACGCTCTGTGTTTATTTCATTCTCTATACATCCTCTGAGGTAAGACAAACATTTCAGAGATACTGAAGTCCTAGGACATGAAGGAGAGGGGACTGGTGTCTTCAGTTTTTCCACCAGTTATGGTCATCTTCATCGATAGAATACCAGTCACCATCAATCACCACGTAGGGCTTGATCGACTGCACTTCCTCCAACTGTTTTCTCACCTGGACATAGTACTGCTGCTTCCAGAGGCCAATTATCGACAGGTTAGTGGCAGGGCACTGGAACGCACAGCACAGCTTCAACATCCCTGATGTACTGAAGTTATTCATTACCAGGTTCAGGCTCTTCAGGTTCGAGTTGCAAATGATGACCGAGGACAATGCCTCACAGCAGTTGGAAGTCAACTCACACGCCCCTGGCCCAAGTCTTCTCAGGGAGCTGGTACTTTGCTTTAGTCCCTCGTACAGGGCTATGACTCCTTCATCACCCAGGGTGTTGTTTCCAAGATCCAAGCTTTTTAAGTGCTTGATTATTGGGATCATGCAGGTTAGGTCCTCGCAGCACTTCTCCATGAGCTGGCAGTCCACTAGTTCCAGGTCTTGAAGGTAACAAGTCGGCTCCTTTAAAGCTTCACACAGTAGCTTCATTGCATTATTCCCTACAGCGGTTCATGGACAGGCTCAGGTGCCTCAGCTTTCTGTAGTTTGAAAGTATCAATGCCAGGAAACTGTAGGCATCATCTACAATGTTGCAGTGATTCAGTATCAGCCACTGGAGAGCACATTCTGGATTCTTCATGAACTGACACAACTGTTGCACTTCTTTAGTCCCCAGGTTGTTGTTTGTGAGTCAAGTTCTGGTTGCTGAAAAGGGCTGAGGCCAGAATGTGGCAGCTGACTGGTGTGAGGTCACAGCTGTCCAACATAAGCATCTTCCGTGAACACTTTTGAGTTCCTCAAGGCGTCCCTGACGGATATCATAGTATTTACTCCCACCTTATTTTTGGCCAGGCTGAGACATTTTAGGCTGGTGGTTGAAAGAAGGGGTGTGGAGATCATCTCATAACCAGCGAGGGTTAACTCACAGGAATCCAACCTCAGAGCCTCCAGGGAGCACCTTGGATGTTTCAGGGCTTCACAGGCTAACTTCATGTCATCATCCTTCATGGGAGTGCTCCCTAGATTGAGGTACTTTAAGTTCGGATTGCTAACGACCATTCAGAGATATTGCAGGCCAGACACTATCTCTGCACTCTTAAATGTCAGCTTCTGTATACTGCAGGATGAATCCCCCAGCTTGAGGCACAGGATCTCCATGGCCCATTTGTTCAAGATGCTGTTGCCCAAGTCCAGCTCCTTCAAGTTTGGGTGGGTAGTGAGAACAGAGCAGAATTTTTCCCACTCATAGAATGAGGGGCTTACCTAGTTTCTTCTGGAGAGAAACAGGAGGGCACAGCTCGAGAGTATTATCCTCCGAGACAAGGTCTCTGATATCCACCCGGATTGCCTCCAAGTTCTGACATTGCTGGCGACAATAGGAAGATACTGTCAAGTCCATCTTCTGGTTAATCAGAAGCCATACTTCTTGGAAGCTGTTGAGAGCTACATGAACGAATTCTTCATCCTGAGACTCAAAGAGGGTGTCTAGGGTGTCCGTCGGGCTGGTGTCATTGACCTACTGACCTATCAGAGAGACCCAGTGTTGGAGCTTCTGCTTAACAGTCGGGTTCACGAGTCCCAGACTTTCAAGTGGCAAAATATCTGGAATTCAAACCAAGGTCTTCCAAACTCTGTTCTCAAATTCCTCTAAGGAAAAGATTCAGAATGAATTGGTCATAGCAGTAGACAAGAACAACCAGGAAAAACCAGGACTACAATTTTTCATGATTGTTTGGTTTTTATTTTTATTTATTTTTATATTTTTAGTTAAGGTCTCTGTATCGCATATTGACCCAGAACTTGTCCTGTGACCCAGGATGGTGTTGATCTTGTGATCCTTTTGCCACCTAAATGCTAATAGTGGTAGTAGTACTAGTAATAGTAGTTGTAGTAGTAGATCCTAACTCACCATGCCTAGTTTTTTCATCTGTTTTAGTGGAAAGTCTTAGCTATACACAGATGTAGGCAGTATGGTAAACCTCTATGTTTCCATTACTCATTTAAAAAACCAATCAATACAGAACCAACTCTCATGTCCTCTATAACCATGTATTTGTATTTCTAAAATATAAAGACTGCTTTAAAAAGTCATAACCTCCATATCATATCTAAAACATTAATATTCGCTTAACATCGTTTAGTATCTAGTCAGTTAATACATTTCCTGAAGCCGTGGAGATAGCTCAGTTGGTAAAGTGCTTACGCCAAAGGCACAGAGACTTGAATTTAATCCCCCAAAATCACATAATAAGAAACGGTCCAGTGTCACGATGTCATGAGCTTGTAATCCCAATGCTGGAGATACAGAAACGGGTGGATCCCCAGGGCTCACTGGCTAGCCAAGCTAGCCATCTTGACAACTTTCAGATCAATGAGAGACCTCGTCTCAGTAAATAGGATGGATAGCTCCCAGAGAAGGACATCTGAGGTTGTTCTAGGCTTCCATGCATATAAACATACACACATGCTCCCACATAAAACACCATGCCTTCACACACACTCAAAATAAATATCTTAATTGTTGTTTTTGAGATAGGTTCTCACTATGTAACTCTGAACTGGATTAGAACATGCATGTAGACCAGCCTGGTCTCAAACTCAGATCTGCCTGCCTTTGCCCCCTGAGACCTAGATTAAGGACATGTGCCACCATGCCTGGCCCAGTTTCTTGTATTGTATTATAAACGTTATAGCTGGTAAGACTCTGGATCCACAAATATTTGATTTGTCTTTTCTTTCCTGAGACATTTTCCCCAGTAACATTCCCTGCATCTTGTATTTTGTTGACTCTGCATCTGTGCCGAAACATAACATCTTCTGTTTCTTCTATGTGCCATGAACTGGGAGTTAAATCTAAAAGTTTGATTAAAGGTAAAGTTGAGTTTTGAAATCAGGCCTATACATGTAGTGTTTTGTATTTCCCACTGTGATACATCAGGCAGTACGTGGTTCTTGGAGGTCTTTGCTTTGTGATATAAAGTTTGTCTGGTGTTTTTAAATGCTATCCTCTTTAAGGAGGCAGCTAGGTAAGATCTCACACCAGTTACCTCCCTACTGATTCACCACCTGGTGTGTTTAGCCTAAGACCCTAGGGCATCATGCATCCTATGATAGCTGTAGGGAAGGCCCAACACGTGTAGATAACAGCATCATGTCATAATGTCATAAGGTTGGACACTCTTCACAGATTCTCATGCACCACACTACCTTCAAAAGAGCTAAAGAAGTAAGGAAAAAAAACCATCCATGGTGTTCTGATTTTAGTATAACAGGAAAAGACACACTAAAAAGATGGCAAGGCCTATATTGCTCCTGTAATTCCAAGCTTCATAGAGAATGATACCTCCACTTTGGGGATGAAGAAGGAATTAAATCCTGACCAGAGACTTGAAGCAGTATGAGCTTATCACAGAGATCTCAATTCTGGGTGGAACCCTTGGCATCCCATGGCCCTGTACCTGCAGATGCTGCTGCTGGACCTGTGAAAAATGTCCAAGACTGCAGTTAGGAATCTTCCCAGCAACT